CACGGGGGGTACCCTTCATATATTCAAATTCACACTGGATTCTTCTCAAAGGAGTAACAAAATACAGGGTGATCTGATGAACAGAGAAATAAAGGTTGAATGTAATTCATGAATTCAATAAAAGAGACACATCTGAACTAATGTCTGACAAAATTCGTAAGGTGAGAAAAAAAAGCATTAAGAACAAAGAATTATTACACCGCTTTACAGACACCATCCCCAGAGCTCCAAGAGGGAATAAAAACGGGGATGGTGGAGTCCTCTGTTTAGGAGACAAAGGAACGGCGCTATTTTCTAAAGGACAGCATTAACCACAGATAAATTAACTTGTATACAAAAATACAGACAAATGCATACACATACCCAGAGGGATAAAGAGAAGACAGGTAGGTAATAAAGCTGTGAGAATAACACAAGTTTTGGATGAAGGCATTGTAAGTTATGCATTTTCACCACTTTGGATGAAGGCATTGAAAGTTATGCATGTCCACCACATTGTCCCTATATTCTGAATACTTTAGAGATAAATCAGAGTTGAACGCACTATTTCTCCTGTCTTTCGCCAACAAAGTCAAATTCCCTTGGCAAGGCAAGAAAAAAATCAGAGAGCTAGCAAAAAAAAAAAAAAAGCCTTTTAGGAACCACTAAAATTGACCTAAGATAGCTTTATTTTATGTTTGCAATTTAAGACTTTAACAACCTTGGACTTTGAGAAGCTGCAGCCAGTTCTCTATATCTCACTGAAAGGCTTGGCTTTGTTCTCAGTGGTATTCAATTCCCAGTCTAATCCTCTGATGAAATAAAAGTGATTTTGCTCTATTGTCAGCAGATATATGATTGGCATAAGCTCTTCCCATTGTGATAGATAACGAGGTTGATTGTACTTCTGACTTCAACGTCTTTAAATCTCCATTCTCCACTAGTTACTTTGCCTGCATGGATCAGCCTTTGAGCTATCAGCCTTCTTCTCCCTGTGGAACCACAAAGTTCTGCCATTTGCAACCATGCACAGACTGAAAGTCCTTGTACATCAGCCATGACTACATCAGGGTCTGACTAACCTCTTGCAATGTGCCCCCCATCTCAAGAAGCAGCAGCAGTGGCTACCAAAAAGCTGCGTATCAGATACTGGAGTAAAGCAACTCAGGGATTGCTGTTCAGGGCTGTGGGAAGTCTCACCTGATCTGGATGCACATGCTACATGTCTTTCTCTATCTTGCCACAAAAGCTTCTGGCCCCTAACTCCCCACGCTCTCTCAGAGCTTTTTCCCCCTCTTCAATATCGTTTAAGACCCCTGCAGCAGTGGATGTGGCAAAATGGGATTGTAAATGATTTCAGTAAGGCTACAAGAGCCTTCAAGCTAACAGATCTTCCCATTATCTTGCAAGGATGCACCCAAAAGCTGCCCAGAGGACATCCTCATTACCTTCGCCTCAGCATACTTATGGAAGAAATTCCTGGAAATTCTAGTGGCTCTTATTGTCCTTTGCCTCCATCCCAAGACAATGAGGAGATTCCTCTAAAAGATGTACCTCAGTGTTGGTAAATCAGTTTCTGTGTGTGTTTCAGTCCTTCACAATTGCACACAAGCACCTAAAGCCCTAGATTTTTCCATATGCATTTGTTCCCAAGCTTTGTATGCTCCATTGGTACCTGCATGCCTCCTGTGAGATCAGGACCCGTTTCTCAAAAATGCAGAAATTGCCTTTTAGCATCCAACCACCACCTGCCCCTCTGTGAGCTCTATGGAGGCCCATCCTCTCCCTCTGCCGACTGTCAGTTCTTACATGATTATTCAGTGTGCTTTTGTTCATCCTTCAGAGCTGCTTGTCTGGCACCAATTTCTTTTAGGATCTGTCTTTTTCTCTGATGAAAAGGAAACATTTTGGTATGTGTACCAGCCTCGCTGTTTGGACAGTTTAATGAAAACATCAATAAGGCACAGACTGGAGAGGGAGAGGGAGGTTTGCAGTCATTAAAATCTCTTATTAGCATTTTGCACACCACCACGAGCTTTTGTACCTGAGCAATTAATACAGCAATAAATACCACAATGAGCTGGAGAAACCTCACTGAGGCTGGGAAGCATAAACACTGTGTTCCACTTAATTGTCAGAAGCATTTAAGAAGCTTCGTGGAAAGGAATAACTGAATAGCTGAAGCTGCTGCTTCAGACACAAAATTTCATCCCCAGCCATGATAAACATTCCACCATCTTAAATAGAAGTTACCCAAAGGAGTGAGAACAAATGCTATGCCAATCACCCCTCCAGATCCATACGCTACCAGCCCACCTAAATGTTAATACCAGGTTTAGAGAAGGATAAACATGGTTGATTTAAGCCAGCATGCATGACATGGAGCATCAATCGGCTATATTCTAGCTGCATAAAGGAGGACAAGAGATGCCTGATCTGCTGGTACACAGTTAACTCATGAAGAATTCTTGAGCACAGCTGAATGATGGGTTGAGTTTATACAATAGAAGTATTTCTCTTTGTATCTTTGACTTGACATTACAAACCCTAGTTCTCAGTTGACTGTACTGTGTAAGACCATCGCTGGGGGTAAATACTCCCAAGGTAAGACCACGGGAATGCCCTGTATGGCCAGAGAGAGGGCCTGGCCTGCGGGATCTATGTGACATGGAGTTATATGCCTTGCACCCACTTTAATCCTTTGCCCTTGGATACAATTCCTCACTCATGCATTTAAAACACCTCACAAAGTCGAGTTTCCCCAAGGAAAGCACAAACAGCAGGAGTCTTCTCCCACAATTTGCTTGTACATGCTAGTTACCAGCAACTTTGCTAATAACGCATTGCTCATGCAAATGAGTTCAGCTTAGAGAAACAAGTCTTGATGATTATAAAATGCTGCAATCACAGTATTGCTTCCGGCCAGCTGAGAGTAAATTCATCAAGCATTTGATATTTAAAGCTGTTGTGGTGATAAATGCTTGCCTTCAGTTACGACTGTACACCAAGACAGAGAGAAAATGGAATGCAGAAAAATGACTGCATGATGGGAATCCCAACAGAAACCACCAGAAACAAAGGCAGAGATATGAAATCTCTTTCATAATCAGCTGAATGTAGCTGATATGCAGCAACTTGTTCTCCTTTAATGAAGATCGATTAGAACAAAAGCAACAACAAATATCAGTTTCACTCAGACAGAAGCACCGAGTGGTGTTCTTTTTTACTGCATCTGATAAAAGTCTTATTATGCCAAGGTCAAGGACAGACGTACAGTAAGTAGTAGGTGTCTCTTCCGCCCAGCAGTACACACACAGCCAACTGTTATGATTATGGATGCTTGCTCTGTGTGTGCAGAGCATATAAAGGGGAGGATAAATTCCTTTGAGGTTTTGATAACAACCCTGCTGCTGTTGTGGACCTTTGCTCTGTGTATGACATTACAGTAAAAACAAAAAGAAAATTAACTCAGCAATAAACACCCACGATAACACTGCACTAGTTGTTTTTATGGTTTTATGTGGAGTCAACCTTTTGGGCAATGCTGGTCAGGACAGAAAATAATTAATTCCATTGGTATTCACAGTAATGGCATTAATCACAATGAACTCTTCTACTAATGAATATGGAGAGAGTAGTGAGAATTAGTTGTAACTTTTCATTCAACTGGAGCTCTGCAAACATCAGCAACCACCTGATGGGTTCTGAGACTATGGCATGTCCCTGGCTTGCCCCAGGACTATTTGATGGAGTGGGGATTTCAAACACCCCAGAAAGATGGTCAGAGTGAAGATACTGGGCAGACTGTAGCAGCTTTTTCCCCTAGTTGACCTCAGGACTCATTTTGTCCTCGCAGCAGTCTCAGGATATCTTACTGGCATGATGCTGATAGCAGCAGCACTGACCTGTGGCTGATTCGCTCTGCAAGAGTCTAATAGATGAGACAGTAAACATGTCCTTTTGCAATGTGTGGATGCACAGCACCCCACAACAAAGCCCCTTTGCATGGCTTTGTCAGTACTATCTGCACTAGTTGTAGACAAAATCATAGTTGGTCTGGGCTGACATGTCAGATAGACCTGATCCCACACGGTGGAAAAAGAAGATGTAGGGACAAGTGGAAGCAAAAAATCCTTGGGCATTAATCTCTTGGTAACCTGTGTTTAGCAGACAGACCTCTATTGTCATTTATCCTAGGCTAACATCTTAGAAAAAGGAGCTGTATTCCCACCTACTACTCTATAAGGAAATGATAAAGCAGCTATCTATCTTTTTTTTTTCATTAAAATTAAATAATTGAATCTGTCCGGATTCATGTACTTTCTCCCCATGAGATATCCAGGAGAATTAAGTTTCAATTGACTTTCCAGACCTTGGTTATCATAGGAAGCTTTTCAAAAATTGGGACATTTGGCAATTTGAAATTCAAAATAGGCTTCAGTCAATATGTTTACTATTGCTAGACAGGCATTTTTGTCCCCTGGGTGTTTAATGCCTCAGTAAGTAATTGGTCCTTTCATCTTTTATATGCACAGAGTGAAGAGTTTATGGCTCAAACACTGAATTGTCAATACAAAGGATCTTTGCACCAGTCTTAAGTAACCCAGCTCCCAGCTCCATTAAATCCCATTAAAAATCCCCCCTCCCTCCACACGCCCACAACTAGCCCCTGAAGATTCTCTTCTCCTCCCCTGATTTTCAATGGCCTACTTCAAAGGTAGCTGTGCTTTACTCACCAAGCCTAGATACAAAGACAGGGAGATGAACATAAAGAATAGTCCCTCAACAAACTGAAAACTCCAGGGATTTCCAGGGAAACTGTTCTTGTACCTTTATCCATTAGGTCTGAAACTCAAAATAGTCAATGCACTTATACCCAGAGAATCAGATCTTTAGACACAGGAATGCAACGTCAGTTTTACATAAGTGATTTTCAGATGAAGAAAGCTTCTCCTGAAGCTACAAATATTTTCAGACAACTGAAACATTGTGCTTCAATCAAGGAAAAAAAAAATCTGTCATTGAAATGGGACAGCTCTTCATTGTATTTAATTAAACTTGGCTCACAAGCTTTGCATCCACAATAATGAACAATAATTAGTAGTCCATTTTTCATTACTTTTCAAGGGATGCCTTAGTGCTCTACAGCACATTGCATATGTTTAGGATTTTTTACCCAGCAGTGCAATAGCCATCTCTCATGATGCCTTGCAGCAAATCTTCGGCAGTGCAAAGAACCCCCCCACTCACCTCAGACTACACAGACACCAAGTGCAAATGAAATGGCCCTCAGCTAGGGATTAGTAAAGAGGCTATATTGATCTGTATCACAATCTGGCAAACTGCTTGCAGAAACAGATTTGAGTTGTGTGAATGGTGAAGTAACTTGGCATTACTTTTCCTTATCAGAATGGCAGCATGTCCTCTTGGCAAGAAAGATCAAATGTGCCTACAAGTACCAACTATCTTATCCCTTAGTCTGTAAAGTCAGTCAAAATCACAGCCCAAGCCAATCAGGATGAAAAAGCTCTCTCTCCAGTCAGTCATGTTTTCAGTCCATATTTGCTCATCCCTGAGGGGAACAGCTAGGATACAAAACAATTTCCAATGAAACAATCCTTGTATCAGCTAAAATATTAAGAAAAAATACTTAGAAACTTTGCTAAATATTTTGTTTATCCATTGGAAAATGCACATTTACATTGTGGAGAGATCCTACCTCTGGGATCTCTCTACTAAGCTTCACATTTTGGGGAGAGGGGGGCTTAAGTCCCAGAATACACACTGTTAGTTTCTGACTCAGGTGATGATGGGCATAGTCCTCTCCAGGCTAAGCAAGCATCTGCCATGTTATTTCCTTTTTTCACCACCATCTGTATGCTAAAGGTTCATAGGGAAATGGTGCCTTGTCTCTTTTGTGACACTGGAGGTGAAGGAGAACTTGCTGGGAGATGACTGACTGTTATTCAGCAGGGTAGACACAATATCAGAAGTCAATAGCATATCCTAGTTTGGGAAAGATCTATCCCTAATCAGGATGACTGAGCCCCTCACTTTATTCTGTGTGCTTGTGTTAAATGGTGACCCCACTCCCACGCTGTGTCAGCTGTAATGCCCTGTTTTCTGAGTAGTCACACCATGCTTATCTGCATTGGTGCCCACATGTTCACAGCAGTGCATAAGTCACAAGATTTTCATACAACAGAGGCTCCTAACAGCAAGTTAACACTGGCCTGTCCAAAGGACATTGTGTGCAAATATAAGCTACGAACAACAGCAAAAGAAGAGTCTTATACCTCCGTCCTGCAGGAGCTGAGGATGTATCCCATATATAAAGAAAGAAGAAAAGCTATCACAATATCACTCTAGGAGCCAGGAACACAGCACAGAGCCAGTCCTAGGTTTTGACAACCTTTGAGGATCCTGCAGAATTCACTGTAGTCAGGACTGATCTTGCTGATGCACACAAAGGGCAGTGGTGAATTCAAGCCCTTGCAGATCAGACTAGAGGTGTATCTTAAAGCATGTGCTGTCTCTGCGATCTCATGCATTACAAAGGTCAAATATTTCTGCTCTGCAAAAGCCAGTTGCAGGGCAGATATACAGCTGCTCCCCTCACGAGATTAAACAGAATGAGGAGAAAGGGTAAACTCAGATGAAGGTGAGCTGCTGCCTTGAGACATGAGAAGAAAACACATGGAGAAGATGCTGGGGCTCTGCTTGAAGCTGGTCACGAAGAGCCCATTTGCCTCAGAATTTTGATAGCATCCTTGTAACATCTGCTGTTACTGAAATTCAGCATCAACTTCCTGTGGCTCAGCATGAGAAATGTCTTCTCCTAGGATAAGAGGAAAAAGTAATTAATAGATAAGGGTCTTCCCAATGGAGGCCGATTTGCTTTCTGATCCACAAAGCACTGCAGATTAAAAACTGGAACTAAACAATTCATAGAAAACTGAGATGGCTGGAGAAGTGGGTGCTTTTCTTTTCCATCACAGATTAGCGACACTGTTACCCTCATCTGCAATCAGGACTGCAAAATCCCCCAGTCCAGCATGCCTGCTAATTACCCCCTTTGCTTCCTTAAGAGCAGGGCAAAATGAGATTTCCTGCCCTGATTAGAGGCATGGAGAAGGCAATCACTGTCATTTGCATTCAATCAGATGTTTGTTCCCCCTGACAGAAGAGCACCAAACAAGGGCTATGCCATCTCACTAATTAATCCCGCCCTTCTGCTCTAAAATTGACAAATAAAACTGAGCTTGACTCATAATCCCTTTGTCTTCTATTATTTACTCTTTTTTAACAGTGATTTATGGCAAGGTAGTGCTTTCATTATTCTTGTTAATTACCTCTGTTCTCTACTCCAGCTTGTAAAATGTAATAGCCTGAAACATAAATCTAGCCTTGCCACCTATGTTCACACATCATCAATATTATTCTGGCCATACTCATAAAATCTTTATAAAACATAATTATACATTTGCCATTAAGAGCTATGCTGTAGCGAAGATCCACTAAGCCTTTTCTGAGGACTAACCTAATCCGAGTATTAAACCTTCCTGTTTGTGTTCTCCTAAGGAAAAAACCACACCACTAATTGGTCAGTGAATATTGTAGAGCCAACCAACACACCTCCAGTGTGCAAGCCCTGCTAAGTGGCTGCTATTGCTTTTGTGACAGGGATGCAGAGGCACTATAACGAACTCTCCTTCGCTTCCCACCTCTGGAAACAATAATCTCACTGAACTGAACAACGATCACTAGGCACGACTGTAGCAAACAAACGCAGCAGCTACTCACTTGAATGATTATCAAGTTTCTTTCTGCGTGTAGATAATCCCCAAACAAATTATTTTCATCCTCTCTAACCCTGATACTTCAAATCAAAAGAACTGCATATCCCAGAGAACAGACATCTTCCAGTAGCCCTTTTATTTTCCCTATTGTATTTTTTTAGTATTGCTTATGATTATATGTAAGGAAAAAATCTATTAGGAGGAGAGGAAATGCATTATCCCCAGCTTATTGTTGACATGATATTAGCTCAGTATTTGTCACATTTCTGGTAATGAACAAGTTTAAACGCAACACTTCATCTCTCCAACAAAATACTTGCCTATATGAACAGCAGTAATATTCCAGCTGAGCCTAGTGAGAAACGTGTTTATTATCTCTCAGAAAAAATAATCTCATTCCTCCCTGATCCATCTAGTGTATTATTACCTAAGTGTGCATTTGGAGGTACTAGATCAGCTAATGTAAGCCCTTCAGCCAGCAAGTATTATCACGTGTATTTCCATTAACTTTCATTCTCCACAGTCAGAGGAAGGACAGCCTATAAAATACTGCAATTGAGTTTACAATTGTTAATTACTGTAAATTCAGTGTTTGAGATAAAAGCATTCCCCTCTTTAGGTAGGTCTTCTTCCTGATGTATCGTGGTTATTATGGCTTTTAGTTGGATTCACAGTGGCGAGGTCCTGTTTCTGGGGTTTCTCCTGCCTTACACGAGCATGCAAGACCTGACTCAGACCTTCCCAGCGCTACAGCCCCATTAGGCCCAGGACTTTAATGGCTCAAACCACATCAGATCAGAGTGCAGATCCCAGAAGCATGGGTCAGAAGGGGACTGATCAGGTTGTAGTCTGCAAGATGAAATCAAGGCACTTTCTCCATCTTTTCCTATTCTTTAGATGACTGCCAGGAAAAATATTTCCTGGCTGACTCCACCTGTGGTTTACTGAGTAACGGGAGTAACGGCATTCTCAATAATGCATTTTGCCTGAGGAAAGCACTGTAACTTGTTTAGCTTGGGGGAAAGCAGAGAAATGGGGAAATGGGATGAGAAAGCTGTCTTTAAACCGAGTTGGAGATCTATGCCAGACTGAGGTGGGCAGCATGCACAAGGCAGGTCAGAGGGCAAGTTCACCTTCAAGCACAGCTCCCTGAACTAGACTGATTCAATCCTTTTTCCTTTGTTCAAGAAAAGGTTTATTTCTTAAAAATCTTAAAACCAAACCTGATGTAAGCCACAGAGCTAAACCAAGTTCTGGGACCTTGCTTCCTTTACTCTGAATGCCCATCTGCCATAGATGTGTATATACCTTCTGGTGATTTCTTTCTCAAGAAAAGTGGTAAATCTCACTCCAGTCTTCAGTTAAACTGCTAAAGGTGACTCTCCAGCCTGAACTAATAATTCAATAAGGTCAGCCATGAAAGTCTTCCCATTTTTAAGGTAGTTGTACAGAAAAAGTTAACGAACTTGCTTCTTGGTAACTTATTTTTCTCTATTTAGTTTAGACTTCCAGACTACTGTCCCTCATGACCAGGGAAGCTGCCGTGTACATGGTCACCTCATCTCCTGCATGCCGCTGTGGGGTAAGCACCAGCAGTACATATGCAATGCTTGCCGTGATCCAGTTCCATTTCTGGATGGGTGTTTACATCTGAGATGTCTGCTGACACGGTTACAGACAGCTAAAAGAGAGGCTTGGTGGCTGCAGCCCTGCATTTGGAGAGTGCTGCTCTGTGCACTCTGTCTTGGTGTCTCCTGCCTTCTGACCTCCTCCCAGTTTGAAATCGAGGTCTCCAACGCAAGTGGTCAACAAGGAAGGCTGTATCACTAGGGCCTCCTTACACTCAGACACAGAATGCAATTTCATGCCAAGCAGGTCCCTCTGAAAGTGATTTAATTAAAGCTTCTGAATTAATAAGCCTATCCTTCATTAGTAGCCAGAGTAATAAAAGCAGCATGAAACTTCTCTTTAATGAAACAAAGCATACCTAAAAAGTGAAAAGGAATGTGAAAAAAACAGTTGTACTCTGAGAGCTGCTTTTGCTGCTGTTGGCTCAGTGTTATAATGACTATCAGACAACGGCTGTGTGCGTTCTAGCGAAGCAAGAAAGACTGAACAAAAGATTGTGTATATGAAAAACATGGAATCAACTTTGGAAGTTAAAAATACAGGTATAACAGGAAGAACCTGGGATCTGGTATTGTGCAGGTATTCTTCTATACCAGAACACCTCATGTATTCAGAGGGGATTACTGTAGGGTGTTTAACCATTATGTCTCTCCATCTATCCATCAGGAGAGCAGTGGAACAGACTACCTAAAACCTCTTCTGTGTGGATCTTTGCGACTCTGTGAAGAAAAGTCCTCAACACAGAGATCCCCGAGCATGGCAGATCAGCATGTTGTATATCAGGCTCATCACTAATTCCGGATGCATCACATGCCGCTAAGCACCTTTTATCTTTTCCTGAAGTTTGCTGTTGTTTTGTAGTTTCCCCCAAGTTTTACAATCTACTGTTACAAACGTAACACAATTGTATCTCTTGCACAGCTGGGGGCTCCCAAAGCTAGTTTTCTAAAGAAAATGTGTTTTCCATCCACTGCCTCCATAAGCCTCCCTGCTGAGAAGAGTTTATGCTTAGCTACACTCAGGACATAATAAATGCAAAAGAAAAGAAGGTAAAGAGAGGACTTACAGAGCTGCATCAGATTTCATCAGTGGAAGTTTTGCCCATGAACATGATCCTATTTGTTCCTGTTTAGTGCATTTTGGAGTTCATTTTCCACAGAAACCTCCTCATCCACCTAAGGGATATATTTTTTTTCAAGTCCCTAAGTGGGTGAACTGGTCAGACTAATTGTGTCTGAAAGGCTACAGTTGACATACAAGGGAGACTTAATTATGTAGTGTGCAGCTCCATCTGTCAGCTGCAATATCTTTTGTTACCAAGAATTAGACTCCCATAGAAGATGACGTGACAGATTCAATTTGCTTTCACAAGGATAACTGTTATATGGGCATTTGAATGATGCTGCAAATTAGAATAACATTTACATTCCTTGCATAGACTTTGAAATGCTATTTACAGAATGGCCTGTCCAAAATATAAAGCTAAGATTGAATGGGTGGTAGCCACTACAAAGCTGAAAACCAGGAAACAATTAATTAAAGTATCATGAAACGGAGAACAACCTTACACACCACTGAGTGAAGATTCACCCATACCCATGCAAAAAGTTCTGAAGAGGCCATTTTTGTGTGAAGTTAATGGGAACAGCTCTTGTACTAAAATTCAAGCACTTTTACACCAAATCTGATAGCAAAATGTAAAGACCATAAAATTCCAGTTTGGGAGGGAGAAAGGATAAAGCTTTCCCCTAAACTAAAGATTTTCTACCTGTTTACTACAGAGTCTTTTCAAGGCTGATGCAGACGCTGTAAAACTATGGAAGCGTGATGACTATAACTTCCCTTTCATTTCTGCCTTTGTTGATAGCTCACAGATCACATCTCCAGATTCACTGTGAGGTAAACAATTATCCACATGGCTGGGTAAATCCAGCTCATGCTTACTTCAGCCTTGCTGCTACCCAGCCACTCATTTACCTGAAATAATCTGATCACATCCAATTGTGAGCCCGGAGCTTCCAAGGGACACCAGTACCCATGTAACACATGCTGCATGAAAGAAGGAACAAATGCTATCTTCAGATATCACGTGTGATTCATAAGTTTTCCTCCAAGTTTTTGCAATCATGTGTTCTTAATTTGTCTTAATACACGTGTCTCTCCCATCTCAGTTTGGAAGCCCACACAGACTACAGGGGAAGGAAAGTAACTATAACAAGCTGGCATATTTACAAGGAGAAGAAACAGGAGAAAAATATACTATGAGGGATTCTGCTATTTGCTCTAAAATAAAGAGACTTGCTAATTAGAAAAATGCTTTTCACGACTGCTTTAATTTGAAATGGGGGGGGACCCCCTTCATTTGCTCACAGGCTGCAGTGTATTTCAACTGATGAACAACATCATCTTTAGCAAGCTATACATTCACCATATAGTAGTGAATCTGGAAGTCTAACCTGCCATTATGTCAGTGTGCAATATACAGCTTTGAAAAACTTCCTCTATTTATCAGCTTTTGAATTCAGTCGTTGCCCAATTACCTCTAAAATTGTGACAATCTTAGTTTTAGCTGAAGAGCTTTTATTGAAAATCTATTGGTAATCTTCTGTAAATGTTAGTCATGAACAACGCTGCTAAATCATAAAAACATTACTGCTTGCGATTAATCTGGGGAGAGACATTAACGTATTCAGTTCTAAATGGTCCCTCATCCCAGCATCCGGTAAGTACTGATAAATTGAATTAGCTTACTTAGCATGAGGTTTGCTGGGAGCTGGTTTGTAAACCTTCCCTAAGTTTCTGTTTCGGCATCCTGGCAAAAGTATGAAAAATTCAATCCCAGACCATATTTCCTGCAAATGGCACCAGTTTGCAAGGATCTAAAAGCTTGTAAGGGTCTAAAAGCAACATTCTTCTGAATGCACCTCTAATACTCATTTTACATGCAGGTTTTACTTCCCAAAGCACAAAATAACCGGAGGCCAAGTAAACCATGAGTTCTCCATAACTGCATCCCATTGCAATCCTACAGCCTCTGCTCAAACTAAACCTCTTCCTGTCTGCTTCCTGTGCACCCCAGGCATTTAGATTTGCAATGTGTTACACAGCCATGAAACAAACAGGAGACAGAATCAGGGGAACATTACCAAAGTAAGTGGAGACCATCAACATGGGCATGTACAAACATGTCATAGCTGGGAACAGAGAGGCAGAGCTATGTGGGGTTGCTCAGGACTGTAACTGTGCATAGAGGCTATTCCCCGTCTGTATTTTGGTGGATAAGAGCTATCAGAGAAAACCTACATGCCCATTAACATGACAGGGATGCAGAGCGTTTGGCTCCTCAGTAACAGAGCTGTAGCCGAAAGGCAGGCATATGCAAAGGATGGGAAGGATGTCAATGTTATAGGCTGGCAACAGTGGAAGCTCTGAGCTGAAACCATAACCCCGCAGACTCCACTAACCATGTGTGGATGCATTTTCCATAGTAATTTGTATACTTTGCAAATACATCAAACGCACCACTTTCTCTGCTACAATTAATTCATATCTACTTCCATTTTGACAAACTGTAATTGGAGCTGAAGCTGAACGAGAGCTAATACTGGTTAATGAAAATTCACTAAACACTGATTTGAATATTCCTCTCGTTTGCAGCCTAACTGGAGCTTGAGAGCTGCTGAAGGAATGAAGCAAATCTAATGAACGTAAAACCAGCCCATCAGTGCTGCTTGCTTAGAAAGGAATGGCTGAATTATGCTGCTGAAGCAGCTTGAGCAGCTGCAGAAATGTGCTCTCCAGAGGCCCTGCCAGCGAGGTGCCCCCATGGCCAGGGCTCAGGGGGCTGCTTCAAGCTCCCTCCCAGCAGCCTCCAAACTGGGCTGTGCGTGACTGCTATTCCCTGTGGAGATCAGCCAGATGACAGAGCTATTCCATGAAATTAATGCCTGCCAGCTGACTGCAACACTGGGATGAAGGTGCATTCATTTTATCCCAATATTTATCTTCTCCAATGCCTCCCCTTCACCTTGCTAGCAGAACCACCCAGAGGCAACTTCATGGTGTTCTTTCCCTTGGGGGGCTGTAGGGACAGAGAGGTGGGAGATGCCTGGAGATGGCTACAGGGGCTGAGCACTGCCCAGTCAGCAGAATGCATTGTACAGCAGCCACATGGGCACCTCAGTACCTTTCACGTATAGGTGATGTTCCTTCCTTCATATATGCACAAATAAAGCAGAAAAATGCCTCAAACGGATCAATTAAAACCCACCTAAGTGACACCATGGGAGGCTTTTGACCAATGCAGAAAGCTAAGATACGTTTTACTTCAGCAAAATCAGTAAATAGCTTCTCCAGCACAGCAGGAAAAAAATGTAGAAAACAAGCAAACTTTAAACCACCACTTGGTGTTAAATACTTGTAAAAGCCTTTTTTCCTTAGATTAATCTCTCACGTTTATCTGCTATATACATTTTGGAGACACAGTGAAAATTGCTTATTTCTAATAAAATGTAGAAACTGTACCCTGAGGAAAAATTACTGTGTTATGAAATATTTTTCCCCTCTACCACAGCCAATTTAGTTTTCATTTAAAATTCAATAACTGCATCACACTCAGAATCTTCCATGACTGTCATAATGACTTTGAACAAAAAGTGTGCTGTAAACAAGGAAGATTAAAAAGACATTATTGAGGTAATTTCTCCCCAAGTTTCTTTCACACAGACAGATGCTGAAAATGGATGTAACAGTTAGCATGAGTATGATTAGAAATAAATAGGAAAAAGGAAGCGCTTTGTTCCACAGATACTTTGGTAATAAAAGCGTTACTTTCCCTATTTTATTTGAGTCCCCTTTCATTCTTTGGTGGAAGGAAACACTTTGTTGTTTCCTCACAGAAACACTGATGTAACTGAAGAAGACAAATGATATAATATTGCTAGGAAAATGCTGCCTACTTGCTGTACCACTGTCTTCCCTTGCATCTCAGGAAGGAGCTCTGACAGGGGCACTGGCAGAAATGTGCTGTACAGGAGCTGCTGGTCCACGCTCCCAGAGTCCTGCATCTTGTTGCTTTGTCAGTAGCAGCCGCTTCAGAAGAATGTGCAGAAAGAGGAGAGTCCCTTTTCTCTTTGTTCAGTCTCTGAAGACAAATTCTGCTCCTAGCATGTAGAAGGGGTAGCAATGTCCAAAAGAGCCTCTCTTGCCCACCCATGGCTCTATTCCTTGCTGAGTGCATGGCCAGGCATACCCTCCAGAACAGCCCAGAGCCTCTGTTTTGCAGAAGGCAGCTGAATTTCTGCAGATGTATTCAACAAGTAAAGCTGTGCACATCCAACTACATCACTCGGCGTCATTCCCTATGTAAAGCATCTTCACATTTACAAGAATCATTTCTATCACTTTTATTGTAACTCAAAACAACCCGAAGTGCTAGTAGGAAGCCAGTGCGCTGTAGGACGGGTGCTGTGACACTGAGTTGCCTTGCATGGGAACTGTGACTAATGGAAAGCAGTGGGGAACTAAACAATTTTGAAGCTCCTTGTAGAGAAAGCAATCAATGTGGATGTTTTCCTTCTGAGATCAATTCAAGAACATTCCCTTTACAAAGAATTCTGGTGGTTTTTTTTTTTTCATCTGACTGTACTGTAAGATCAGTCTTTGCCTGACAAATTGTGACCTTCCTTGAGCTCATGGGCTCCACAGCTGCAGGGAAATCCTTTCCTTTTAAAAGGAAAACAGACATAAAACCCTCCAGAAACTTCTGCAAACCTTAAAAATACCTGACAATTCTTAGTTCAAGTAAATTCTATTATATGTAACTGCAAAAAGGAAACTGGGTGAAAAAAAAGAAAAAAATGGGAAAAGTGCATTTCCAGTGAAGCTGAAAACTGTATCATCATCATAAACCAGCATAGTATGTTTTACAATTCTCTACTTTTCCCACCCAAACAAATAGGAAAAACATAGTTGTACTTCCTATGGAAATGCAATGTAACAAGCTTTCTGTGCTATTTCCTGTTTGACCTCTAGAGTTAAAGTAGCTCATTGCCAGTCTTCTAAAAAGTCCCATTTGCCATGCCAGCAGTCCTTACTCCTGGTGAAGAATGCAGCCCAATGTGTTCTGATCAAATTATTTCTTGAGACTTCTTTTAGCACACTTTAGACACCAGCAGTGACTGCCACAGGCACCTGCCAGGCATGTGCTGTTATGCAGCAATGGCCATTGCTGGTGCTTCATACTCTTCTATTACAACCTAATGGGAATAATTTCTGGGAAGAAGGTGAAAATTCATAAAGCTGCTCTACCTGATTATACCCACCAGCCACAGCTTCTGCACCCACTGCAGTGTCACCTGTGAAGCCCTGTTCTGTTCCTCCTTCTCTCCCTTGGCTTTTCGGCTGCTCTTGAGATCACCTACGGCATAACACACCTTCACAACAGAAATGCCCGTGGGTGCTGCTGCTTTGCAGGGGCAAAAAGAAGCACCCAGTGCAGTTGGCTGTTCTCAGGTACAGCGTGCTATCAGCCAAAACCCGCTTCTTATCCACACCCTGGGGGATCTGTTAAAAACAAAACTTTAGAGTGGCCACTACAGTCAACTTCAATTTTAACAATAAAACCTGCTCTTCCCTTCTTTCTCCAGGGCTGTACAACAAAACAGACCTGAGCAGCTGCCTTCTCCCTGAAGCAGGACTGTATGCTCTTATTTAACAGAAGCATGCAAACCCACTTCTAAACAATTCTGGTTTGATTCTTCTCCTGTTGTTTAATCAATGTACTTTAAAACGGTGATGATGGTTTTCCAGGGTTTTGCCAGGTGACTAAGTCGGAGGAAGTGTCTGCATGTCAAACCCTGATCAGATTTATGCCAGACAGACTTAGTAGTGCTCTACAGGCACAAGATCATGTTAACACCACTGGCTTTCTGTCCCTCTTCATTTATCGAAATAAACATTTATACCCAGGAATTGATAGGCCATCTGCAAGCAGAGGTAGGAGGACATGCCCTTTTCACAAAGCTATGGCATCGGTGTCAGCAAGGAGCATGGGAATCTTTGGAAAAAATAGACTGTGAATAGCAAACAGAGCTTTTAAGAGATAAAGCAAACTCCTATAAGTAAGCAAGAAAGTACTGGTCTGTTCTCTGACACACACAGGGTAAGAACCAGTCTCCTGCTGCACAGGACTGCTCTCAAGAAACAAACCCACTACATGGACTTTCCACATCCACGTGGTGGGATGGTCTCTATAATTCACAAAGAATTAGGTGTTCAGATCGGGTATCTCTTCAGTGCTGTGTCTGAATCATTTGCTCAAATTGGGATTCACAAGATATTTTAATATCTTACCATGAAAAAAATCAACAAAAATATCCCTTGCATCCAGGTACTATTAGATCTGATACTACCCACCTGATGGAAGGGTAACTCCCACACATTACTCCATTCCAAGAAATAACTCTCTGATAGGGTGAACAAGAGAATTTACTAGATTTATTTCTCCTAAAGTACTGGTTCATATGAAAAATAAGGCAAAGTTTCTTAAATATTCTGGTTACCTGAACCCCAGTGTGGAATGGGGACATAAGGATTGTGGAAGTCTTGGTGATTCCATCCCCTGTGTGCAAAGATTGGGCACATACGCTAGGTTCATGCACATGACTCCTGACTCCGCTACTGGTCAGCATTTGTCACTAGAGAGCTGCCACTCTCTGCAAAACAAAGAGAAAACCTGTTGTCTCCTCAAGAACTGCAATGTGTCAACCACCGTAAAAAACCAGCTTCAAATTCATGACAGCCTTTTGCTATTTTCACACGGGATCTGCTGTTTGCTATAAACACTTGTTCCTAGCCCTCAGTTTTGGGAAAGGTAAGAAACAAAAGGATGGATTCTGCTTAGTCTGAATGCCATGCTTTTGTGCAAGAGGCAAGTTATCATGAAAGTACTTTCTTAAACCTGGCCACAGCATGCCGATTCAACAGGCAGTTTGGATTAGGAGATAAAAGGATGCTGCTCAGTCTGATTAATCAAACCCCCTTATGCTTGCCAAAGCCTAATTATTCTTTGATCTACATTAATGACTTCAGAAAGCATAGTACACCTGGTGGGAGTTCTCAATGGGGAGCATTTTAGACTGAAAGGAAAACTCCTCCCTGTGTCACAAAAACCTAATTTGCTTATATCAGTAGAATCAATTGTTTCATACAGAACTGTGGTCTCCCACAGGTCCTGTTGGGGTGTCTCAAAAGATAACATATGCAGTTTTTGCCAGTATCAAAAAGCTGTCGTTTGACAAACAGCAAACTCCATCTCAGGGTGACTTTAAAAAAATCCCGTTGCTATTGCATGCTATTCTGTCTGTAGCTTTTTATTGAACAGTCTGGCTGTAACTCACATGGGCACAGAGACACGTATCTCATACATTTCTGCATTCTCAGTGAGATGAATGAGCTGCTCGTATTCCAATTTAAAAGTCAGCAAGAGATTAATTTACAATCCAGATCCAGAAACATTCACATGGATAAGGATGACACAGCATCACAAAAGAAAAACCTATGAATAAAGCAAGTCACCCCAGATTTACTTGATTAAACTAATCCTATCATTAAAGCAAACTGCTGAAAGCATAATTTTTGTGCTTGTGCAATGGCACCTCGTATCAGGAATTTAAGATATCAAATGGCACTTTATGGTTATCTAATGTTGGAGGCATCCAGGACCAACAGAAACATAGAGAAATATGATAGAATTATTTCTAACAAGTCTACCTGGAACTGCTTTGATTTGTACAAAATTTAAGATTGGCATGAGTAACAGATGAATCAAGATGCACATGTGAGCACTGGACAAAACAGCAGAACAAAGGCTTAAAGAATGGCCTGCATTTGTAACAAGATCAAGCTATAGTAAACTAATAATGGCCACAGGGATCTTTTTTGGTCTCCTCCATGCTGTTGAGGATAATTCTGGGAAGCTTTACCAGGAATATTTGCTCAAATCCCAGCACCAGGAGCAAAATTTCCTGCACATTTGCGGATGAGACAACGTTGACAACCTTCTAAAGTTTGAGAAGCTGATATTGTTTACTCAAGAATTTAACAAAAGAAATAAGGAACAAAGATTTTATGTAAGAATGAACTGTATCAAAATAACTGCTGTCTACGGGGAACTCAGAAGAAGCAAAGAAACCAACACTGGTGTTTCCTCTGGGTACATGAATATTTGACAGCCCTGGAATAAATCACTGCTGGAGTTTTGCAACAAAATGACAGACATGAGTTGTGTTTGCCAGAGAATCTTGGGATGCATTGGTTTCATAGGAATATGTGGAGAAGAGGAGTAGATCAGTATGGTACCAATTGTCATTCAAAACAGAGCATCTCCTCCAAGGCTCCTGGTGTCCTCCTTCACAGTATTGGCTTCCCTCATGGGTGGTGATTCAGCTTAACAGTCTTAGGATGCAGTGAGACAAGATCTGACTTTTTGTTTTAAATTAAAAACCCCTCAAACTTTCCTGATTTAACAATAACCAAAAACAACTAGTGGTACATATCTAGAGAAAATAATTTATCCTGACCACCAGTCCAGATAAGCTTCTGGGAAGTAATTCTCCCTGTAGATTCACTGATATTATTATACACTATCACAGGATTGAAAAAGACTGCTTCTTCACATCTGTTTACATGATCATGTGTTTTTCTTCAGGGCTTTCAGACCTCTTACCTCTGCATGCAGCACCAAGCAGTGTGCAAATGGCAGAATGCAACTGGAGAGTCTCCTGCTATTGACAGCTTCTAGAACTCAACTCACTGATCAAAGCAGAGAGGACAAGTCTTAAATCAAGCACAAGACAAATGATTAAACAGCTTGATGGAAAGATCAATGATGACACCCCTTTGCTTCTCTCTTCAGCATATTACAAGCACATAGTATTTTCTCTTGTAGCAGAATTCATTAGTTTAACGTGAAATGCTGTGGGAAGTGACAGCAATCATAAAGGTATGAGAAAGATTACATTTGTCTCAGATTATGTTGCCCAAAACTCTTTTTTGCTTAGTAATACTATTATTTCTTTCTCCATTTCAATATGATTCCTGCCTACATTTCATTTTTTTCCCCAGATGATTTTACTTCAGTCCCTTTGAATTTTAATGCTCAGGGCACAACCTGTCCAATATATCTACGGTCAGACTCTGCAGCTGTACAGGAGTTTGTGGCCACGAGAAAGCCCAGCACCTGGAAGAAAGGTACAGTCTTGCTGGTTATAAGCCAACCTTTTCCATTCAAAGCAGCAAGGCACCTAAATACCTGTATATACCCATAGTGCATATAACAGTCGCAGCTCTTGTCCTGCCAGACCCCTGATAAACTCACCCAATTCAGACTTTAGTTGATAGCAATCTATCAACCGGACTTCACTTATTTACAACAGCAGACATTCTTGCCCTTTTATGTTTGCTTTGTACTATCAGTTCCCTCTCATCAAGAAACAAACTCAATTACACTTTTCTCTGCTCCAGGCTTAACTAATCAGTAGGCAAGTCCACCAGTAAGCGCAGCCATTTCCAATACCTCCTCTCACACACAGATAGCTCAAATAAGAAGTGTTACTTCTCTACCCCTCAAGGGGTGCAGGCACAGCCATTAATCTTCCTTTCATCTCATAGAATGCTAATAAAACAATCACCTCCCTATCTCCGAATTGGGTAGGTCCTAATTAACATGCTAATTGGGCAGATCTTCCCTAATGACTCCCAAAGCTCAGCAGTAATATGTTATTTAGATGGAAAGAGTCATCTAAAAGATAGGTAGAATTAAAAACCTGGCAAGCCAGAGCACAGTTTGGATAGACAAAACACTGAAAGGGACCTTTCTGCTACGAGAATTAACATTCTCCACCTGTCTATGCTACAGATCATATATTTACAGATCCAGCATCATGCAAGTCTCAGAGCAAGAAGCATTTTGAAGGTAATATGCAGCTGTAATAAAGAATATTATTCAAGCAGAAAGCAACCACATATAGGTAACAATGAAGTTTTAAAATATATTCTTAAACCTGTTTATTTAAATATCTCTCTAAATAAATGTGGCTTTTATGATCTGACACAAGAATGTACATGTTCTTTTGCAAACCCAGCAATGGCAGCAGCTGTGGCAGTTTGTATTCATGAGCAACTTCAAGATGGGTAGTTTAAGTCTTAATGGAGTTAGCCCACTGGGGCCAGTATTGTGCTTATGCAGTTAGAGGCTCAATATAATCAGATTTCTTAAAGACAGCATTTGCTCTTCTCAGAAAATAGGACTCAATAATAATTTAAATCCCCTGTTAAGCTAAAACGAAAATACTGGCAGATGCCATAAAAGTCATGGTTCTAAAGTTTTCTTTCATGCACACCTCATAGACAAAAGCAGAGTTTATGTCGGTAAAAAATTAGAAGGTTTGAGTATTACAAATCAAAAGCTTTGATGTGTCTCAAAATTTTTACTGCAGAAGTTCCTAAAAACATGGCTTTTCCCTTTTACAGTTGCACATGTAGTTGATGAGCACACTAGAGCAGGCTGGGTCTGAAAAGCAGCTTTCTGTACATACCACGCATGCAGCCAGACAATACTGCCTCACAGCCCATGGCTGTGTTAGGGAGGACAAATCCAGTATGTCAGGACCACAAAGCAGGAGCTCTGTGCAACTGAGGCACCCGCTCTAGGCAACTGAGACAAACCTGAAGCATGTGATTTGGTCCCAAACTTGAAAAACTCAGGGGAAAAACAGATAATTTCCCCCTTCCCCATACTTTTGGAGCACACAGAAGGAGAAATACTGGCATGGGGACACGGTGGTATTATTTTGTATGACTTCTTGGACTTTATTTAACTCTATTTAAAAAAGCCATGAGAAGGAATCAGAACATTTCACTGCAATAGTTTGTTTCCTGATGCAGAACAATTTTTCATTAAAAGGTTTTTCTACAAGATGCCAAAAGCTACAGTGAAATGTTTTTGTTTTGATTTCTGACATTCTCTCCAGTTTCAGGTTTTATAACCCTTGTTCACAAAGCCAGCATCCTTTCCCCTCCCCTCCTCCTCCCCATTTTACAATGGCTGCAAATAATAACAAAAAAAATCTCTACCTATCGACGTTTTTCATGCATATGAAAGAAGAACAAGCAATGCAATAGTTGTTACTCATGGCTGTGACAGACCAAGAGAAAATGAGTACAGCTGAGCTTTGGGCACCTTGGACCCTTTCTTTCCGTCACTGTTTATCCAGGTAAACCTCGTCTCACTTCTAAAGATCCATTTGATTAAGAATCTGCTGGTTTCATTAACTGGCAACTGCAATACAAATATTGACTGCAGATGTACTACCAGAAGTCCTGTAAGGGGCTCATGCCCTACTCCACTAAAGTCAACGAAGCACTGATTTAAGAAAAGCTCCTAAGCTCCTTTGGTACCATACTGCGGCTCTTGTCTTTGTATGAGGCAGTTTATAGCATACGTTTAGATAAAATACTGAACAAGAGGCATCAGTTTGAACAGACGAGACAGAGTCTCAGTCACATAAAACATAGCTAAAAGAAAGCTATCCTTTTTTAGGTATGCTAGACTGAAGTACATGGGATCACAAAGACACACCACTTTCCATAAACTTTGTTTTGAACAATATCAGTTTTTTCTTGGGAATTACTGACAGAAAATAGCATTATAATGAAATTAATGTAGCAAGAAACTTGTTTCTTATTGGTATTCTATTATATAGCATAATGTGGCAAGAAAGTGGGTTGAAACTGCTGCATTACAGACCAGGCTTTTCTTTCATAGCAAGTTCCTACAGAGCATCCTCATCCCTGCCTGACAAATGGGTAATTACTTTTAAGCACACAGAACTTCTTTATAACACCTTTAGGCAGCACTTTCTTATGCCACCTTCATTCACCTATAAAGGGTCTGAAGCAATGGGAATCCCGTATTTACAAAAAACATATATATCCTCCCTGGTTAAATATTCCAGCTGGACCTCTTAAAGCTGAAATGTGCCATTAGATATTACATATTCTGGCATTTGACTGGACAGGAATAAGGGATAGCAAAACCAACTTTGTGCAGTGGGGCAACTGCTCAGTGCATCTTGTACTCAGCACTGGTCTGCTGATCATTTCAGTGTCACAACTCCTTTCCAGCCCAGGCATCAGTCTTTTCTTCCTACTGAAAGGAGAACTGTGTGAAGCAGGGCTCCACCTTGCCCAGAGATAAAGCTGAAAAGCACTTTCTAATCCTACAACAGAGATGCAGCTTCTGGGGCAACATCCAATTTGTTACTCTCTAATTAGAATGGGTAAAGACCAAGCCCTCACATAATTAGACAATTCAAAGTAATGTTCTGTATGTGTGAGAATCCACACCAAAGAAACAGTACCATTCCAGCTGCCTAACACAGCTTCCTGGGATCTTTGGCTCTCCAAATTACCCCTAACAGAGTCAGGTAACCTGATTTCTGCTTAGGTAATCCTAGTAACTCTGGGCTACTATTTGCCCACCTAACTTTACAAATATGATTTCATCATGAAGAGTGGCTTTAGAATTGAGTGTTGCTAATAAAACGACACTTGAAATGAAAGACCACATATTATCATTCTTGTGAATGAGCCAACTCTGGTTAATGGGTAAGCCAAGTTGTGTGTAAATGCTAAAATAAAGGAAGTAACCTTACCATTTCCTCCCTCCCTCCAATTTCCAGGAGATTTCAACTCGAAAAGCACTTACATGAAAAGAAGTGGGCAGTTTCTGAAGTCATGAATAACCCTTTGGAATGACAGTCAGTATAACGTAACAGTTGGAGGTTGCTGGCACCATGTGGGCTATTGTGAAAGAAACCAACAGAGCTCTTTTGTACAGGGTTGTACCCATATGTACTTGTCTAAAAATACTTATACAAAGATACACAGCTCTTCCTTGCTACATAACTTATTAATAGACAGTGCTAACTATTTCTGTGTACCACATCATGGCACCATGCTGCGGAAGCTCAGCTTGAAGGAAAATGGCTCTCAGATTTAGGCTTACAAGCAGTGTAGCCAAACAGCTTCAGGGTGAGGTATCTTAAGGGGTGTGTTTTCCTGACAGAAATACAGTTCCCTCAGCTGTATTCACATCTTCTGCACACCCACATCATGGTTCAATGATATAATAAATCCGTCTCAGATCAAAACTACTGCAGCTGGGAGGCACAAAACACTGATCCAGTATAAATCTGCTCTGCTGATTCAGATTTGTTAATAAAATACATGGACAGGTTAACTTCCCTGGCAGGCTTTATGCTGGACCATGTGCCATTTGTCTGAAGCACTTTAACATTTTCTAAGATTCCCTACCATCTTCAGCTATCAGAAAACAAATATACGCTCCTCATGCTTTGGCTAGTGCGTTAGAGATGCAACTACGTGTCCATG